TATTTATATGCAGCATAAATATATATATTACATGCATAAAAAAACAGAATCTTAGACAGCTCAACTGAATAAAAGTTACACATACACGATGTAAACTATGAAAAAAATATAATGAATTCTGTGACTATTCTAGGTACCTTAATGTGGCTATAGGGGGTTCTTGTGCTGCTTCACTTAGTTATTCCTAGCATTCTTTCTGAAGTCAGTAAGTGGTAACTCAACCAGAAGGTTTCTCCTAACATCCCAGACCAGGTAAAGACTTTGTTATGCCCTCTCATTACATATTGCAATTATCTCAAAATTTCAATTACATAAGAGTATAACTGATGATTTAGTATCTCTAAATTCTGCAAGATTTTTGAGATTTTCGATGTATTTGTTTCTAACTTTTGCCTAAGAACCAGATGCAAAGCTTATAAGAAATAAATTACAGAATAGTTATGTACTTCTAGAAGAATTTTCTGGGTATTTGAGCAAAATAAAATACTATCAACACAAAGTTTTTACTATTTTAATGGAGCAATCATTTTCCTTTTTTTCTAATTTTTCTTCTAGTATGATAATAGTTCTCTTTTCTGTTACAGTAAGTTCCAATAATACAGAAACTTTTCATTAAAAAAAAAAACACTACTTAATAAGCAATTCAAATAACTCATTCTTTCACCCAATATTTTCCTTCTTATATAACATTTGATTCTTGTATTTTGAGAGAAGGTTTTATGTAACCTATGCTGGCCTCAACTCCCTATATTGCCAGTGATGATTTGAACTTCCGATTGTCCTGCCTCCACAAGATGCATGCTGGGATCATAAATTAGTGTAATCACACAGAGGGCACAGCACATAGTTTAAGACTTGATTCTTAAACTATTGTATTTTATATGAGCAGCAGTAAATAGGGTATCAAACAATAAAACAAATCACTATATAACATTTTAAATAATGGGAAGGGGGTTCTAAATTGGGAGTGAGATAAATACAGGATGAGGGAAGATATAATATCAGGAAGGATGTCTGAAAGTCATAAAAAAAAAAACATACCAAATTAACTACCTAAAAAGACACAATAATGTATATAAGCCTGTGTATAGATGTACATAAATACATACTTTAAATGAAATGTTGTCATCTGGGCTGACAATGGTCCCTCCAAGAGCGAAAGACCACCTAATAAAAACCCCAATACTAGGAAATGAGAAGCTCTCTTTTGAGCTGTTGGTCAGGGTTAACCAAGACACTCCCAAAATTTTAGAGACTATTGCTACTGCCCTTGGGTGACCCCCAGAAGGGGAAGATTAAGTTTCTAGTTCTGAAGACACCATGTACTTCAGACACATGCCCCCTAGAACTCCTGAGCTTGAACTGATTTGAGTGTTTCTTCCCTGGGGACTAGCTTTCACAGTGCCAGAAGTGCCATGCAAACTTTCATAGGAGGAAAGCAACCAACAGTCCTAATCCAACTATGATGCCTATGAACCACATCAATGACCAGCATGGCATGATAACCCCAAGGGCAAAGCAGCAACACATACACCTTGGTGCTAACTCTTCTCAAATTGGACTTACAAACAAATCAATAAGAAGGCACCATGAACACCTAGCCAACTACTCAGAGTAGGAAGTCCTGAATTCTGAAGAACCTATAACCATCACTCTACTAAGTCAGCATAATTCCCAACAACATTTTAATATACATATACACAAGCAGAATTTCACATATAGAGCAGGTTGTATTTAGTAATACATAGGTATATACATATATGACAGAAATTAATGAAAAGAAAGGCCATGAACTTGAAGATCAAGAAGGGGTATATGGGAGGATATGGATGGAAGAAAGGGAAGGAGTAAGTGATGTAACTATATTATAACCTCAAAATTTAAATCCCACTAGCAGGGTGCAGTGGGGCATGCCTGTAATCCCAGCACTTGGAGAGTCAGAGGCAGGCAGATCTTTGTAAGTTAGAAGCCATCCTGGTCTAAAAAGTGAGTCCAGGACAACCAAGGCTACACAGAGTAACTCTGTCTCTAAAAAACAAAATAAAATAAGATCCCAGCACTTGGGTGACAGAGGTCATCCTGGTCTATATATAGTGAGTTCCAGGAGTATATAGAAAGACTGTCTCAAAACAATTGGGAGTGAGATATTAATAATAAATATCAATAATAATAAAATAATAAAAACAACAATAATAATAATGATGATGATAATATACTTCCAAAAACTTTTAAAACTTTTATATTACAACACTATTGCTAAAAATGATGCTACAGAAAGGGAGGGTGGCATAATATCATTTTACAAAAAAGGATAATACTTATACTTAAAAATAATTTGTCATTTAATACTTTCATTTTCCTGAAAACTCAGCAGAGAATACTGAAAATGTTTTGGAAGTCATCAAAATATAAAATATTCCTTACAGTGGACATCAATTTTTGCCTACCTAGCCAGACTCATCTGCCACTTCCTGATACATTTCTTGAGAGAAGTGTTTATCTCTTCAGGATTTCCATTATTCAGTGGAGATGCTTATGTAGTACCTTTGTTTCCTGTAACATGGGTGGTATGGCACTTTCATTAGAATAAGCCAAAAGTTTTACCACCTTTTTCTCACTAGTGATTAACCAAAAAAGTAGACACGTACCCAAAATGGGCTTGAGCTCTTCTATACATACTTTTGTTTTTTGTTTTTTATTTTTTTTTCTTTTTGGTGGGGGGAATTGGTTAAGTTAATGAGCTGAGCTTAATCTAGTATTGTCAGAGGCTCTAGAAGAATTAAAGCAAAAGATTAAGCCTAGAAAAGAAAAAGAAAACCTGTTCTGAGTAGGATTCTATTCAGAAGATCCTAAAACTTGTTCCTATTTCAGTGTTTGCTTTCTTACTTTGAGTTACCTAATAAAGACACACACACAATTACGTTTCTTTCTTATTTTCACTTGTCTAGTTTGAGAAATAATTTTTGTAGTTAAAAGCAGAGTAAAAAATACAGTTTTCATTCCATTAAGCATTACAAAACATTTTTAAATAATCAAGTTTTTAAACTTCCCTTTTTACATTTAGGAACATGTTATCTTACATTTTTGCACGAGTTTAAGTATATATAACCAAATTTTAAAGAGCACAACTTTTTATTTCTTTTGATAATTATTTCTATTTTGAAATTATATATAATTGCATCATTTCCCCTCTTCTCTTTCCTCTCCAAATACTTCCACATAACCCTTCTTGCTCTTTCTAATTCATGGCCTCTTTTTTTTTCATTACTTTTTGTTACACATGCGTATGTATCTGTATAGTAGTGTGTGCACATGTTTCTAAATACATAAGTACAACCTTCTCAGTCTGAATGTTACAGATATGTCTGCCTCTTGTTTTTTTCAGGACAGATTCCTGAAATGTAGCCCAGGCTAACCTCAAACTCGTGATTCTTCTGTGTCAGCCTTCTGAGAAACAGGATTGTAGGTACATGCTACCATCTAAAACTTTCTCTTTTTCTTCAACTTTATACGTTCTGGCTTTTTAGTCATTACATTTTAACCATACTTCATATGAATTTATTTGTTTGTTTGTTTGTTTGTTTTTATGTGAATTGGTGTAAGGGTGTCAGATTCCCTGGAACTTGAGTCTCAGACAGTTGTGAGCTGTCATGTGGGTGCTGGGAATTGAACCTGAGTCCTCTGTAAGAGCAACCAGTGCTCTTAACCACTGTGCCATCTCTCTAGCTCCTTAACCATACTTATTAATTTCAACCCCACCTTTGGTATCTCAGTATTTCCTTTAACACAGCATAATGTTGTTTGAATGTTAGATCTGTCTTCTCAGCTCCCTCTTGAAAATGCAACTTTTAGGTTTCTCACATTAACACTATTCTTCCATAACTTTTTTTCAGTTTGCTTCCATTGTATTTTTTTTTTTTTTCACAATGAAGGTAATCTTGAAATGGCTCACGATTCCTTAATAACCATTAGTACTTTTAAAAATAAGACCACAAGCAGAAAACTCCAAACTTCTGGCAGGTGTTTCTTGAACTTTTAAGAGTAATTAAGTAAACAGATAGCTATTCCAGGAAGACTCTTTCAATGAGAGAACGCAAAGCTCACTGTACCAGCATCATTTAATTTCTTTAGAAGAAAACACCATGACCCTTAAGCCTAGTAAATGCCTTGACTAAAAAAACCTACAAGTAACTCTCACCCATATGCTTCCAAATGATGTCGGCTCCGATGAATAATTTACACCTTGCATGTTCACATTCCATGCCTACTGGTGGACAGGCAAGGAACACAAACTTCCTTCTACTTGATGTCATCACTACAGTTTTTAAAGCCCACTCTATAACTGAGTCTATGTACACTTAAAACTAAGAATTACAGATACATAACCTTAGAGACATACTCTGGTACTTTCTTTGTATTAGGCAGTGGAAAATTTCATAACCCAGAGTAGTGCCATGAGGCCAAACAGAAATAGTAGGTAGGTTTGCACTTGCTCCTGTGCTCTATATACTCCAGAAAATCGTGGCTATCTTTTTATCACTGCTGATCCTTAACTATTTTCTTTTCTCTGTATTTCTTTTACTTCTTTATTTTTATCATTTTAGTGGGCTCCTAGGAGGGCAAAAAGGAAAAACACAATTGCCCAGTTTATAATTTTAATTCACTGTTATCTGGAAAGTTTTAAGCCCCTTCACCCCCCCCCCCCCCCCCGCTAATTATCATGGCCTCAATTACCATATTCTGGGACTTAACATTCAAATTTGCCAAGAGCATTTGGAGAAACACAATGTAGTGGCAAGAAAATGTGTGTTCCACAAATCCACTTCAACCCAATAAAAGTAAAATTGTTCTTAAATGTTGAAAATTAAAACAAAGTAATTTTAAGTGAAGAAATGGCAATTTCTTTTTGAGAGACATTGGGAAAGTTGTCTTCCTCAGAAGAAACACCAAAAGCCAAAAATCACAGCAAACTCTGTTGATAAGAAATAGAGAGTACTTACACAGCAAGACTACTCAAAACATACTGGACGTGCTCACATTCATCTGGGAATGATGCGCTGGCTGATGTGAAACAGCAAAGTGCAGTCTGAAGAACCTGAAGCTGTGGCAAAGGGACCTGCCATCGTCCAGCATAATCTTCAACCACCTTAAGAAAAGTGATTTAAAAAGTACATTACTATGGCAAATGTTGCCAACTTTAAAATGCAGATAAAGAAAGTTTAAAAAAAAACATTAGTTCTACATGAATGTACATGGTTGAGAAGAAAAAGTGTCCTTATATTTTTTCTCACCATATAAATAAATCACCTATCTTTGAAAATGTAGAAAAGAAATACACTAAATGAATATGTTCAACTGGCAACGATTACCAATTTTTGTTAACAAATTTTACCTCCACATACAGCTTTTGTTTAAACATGAAAAGTATGAACATTAAAATAGCTAAAAAAAGAAAACTAGAAATGGACATGCATATTATTACCACTATTTATACAGCACTGAGCATTCTGTCAACAAGTGTTTCTTAAGATACAGTAGCATAATATTCTGATTATGAATATTTATTTACTATTTTTTAGGGGGAAAGGGAGTTATGATTCTTGAGGCTCGCTGGCTGCTACCTAAGTTCCAGACTCAGTGAGAGGCCCTGTTTTAAGAGAATAAGGCAAAAGATAGAACTGGACATGACCTGCTCCTCTGGCTTCCAAATAGGCACAAAGGTATATACAGCCCTACCCTACACACACACACACACACACACACACACACACACACACACAACCAATCAAACACCCAAGCTCATATAGATAATAAGTCAGTCATCATTTTGAGCTTTCCTAATTAGAATAACTTTGTAATAAAAATCTAAAAATTCAAGTTATAATTTTCAAAACACCAAAATGATTTAAAAGTAGACTCTAAAAAGGTAGAAAGCCATGTGAATCTGCAAATAACTTAAAGCCTATTATTTTTGGATGATTAATAAAGCATGTTCCTTGATCAACTCATCACTCCTTAAGTTGATTATGAAGGACTTTTAAGAGGTATTGTTGTTGTTGTTTTTTATCTATAAAATAAGGACCAACTTTCTTCTTTTCCTCTTCTGTAGAGGAAACAGGTAATTGAAAACAAATGGTAAACATGAATACATCAGTCGGAAAATTCTTACTCGATTTTTGTTCTCTTTTCGAACTCTGGACAGCATGACTCTTTTTCTCTACATTTTTGTTTATAAAATATTAACTTAGTCCTACTCAAAACATACCACAGTGAAGACAAATTTCTGCCTCTGCCCCGCCCTCAAAATCAGTTAGTCCAGGGGGTTAATGTTTGCAATGATCAGTGAGATCAAACCAACTGTAGGCCAAGGTTAATTGTACAGGTTTTGTTCTATATTCCTCAAGTTCTCTGCATTCATTACATGTGAGACCTACATGGCAGCATGGAGGTCAGCATAAAGATGTGACTTTCTTATTATAAACAGTAAAGACTTTACATCAATTGTGATGTCAATTTTCATTTGTTACCAAAACTATGGGAGTAACATACATTTTGCTTCATAAATTCTCATACTGATGCCTGAACAAAAGAATATAAACATATGCACAATATAAAGATTAAATTAAAATGAAATTAAATTAAAAAGAAATTCTAACTTCTGATACCAGTTTGCTCAGTATCCAAATGAATTAAATTTTGTTTGGGTATTGTTTTGTTTTATATTGTTTTTTAAGACAAGGTTTCTCTTTGTAGCTTTGCTGTCTTGGAACTCACTCTGTAGACAAGGCTAGCCTCAACCTCAGAGACCTGCCTGCCTCTGCCTTCCATTGCTGAGATTAAAGGTATGCTTCACCACCAAAATAAATTTTAAAAGAGATAAAACATTTATATTCATAGTGAGAGAATGAAAGAAAACTAACTAAAAAGGCATGCTGATTAAGATGGGGAGAAAACATGGACTTCCTTAGAAAGCACACTCTTAAAATTGGAGAAAGAGAAAGAGAGAGACCACAGCAGAATTATTCCCAAAGATGTAATTAGGGAAGAAGAAAGTACTAGCTGCTACCCATTAGAAAAAGAAATTACTGATGATTTCAATGGTACTTAACTGAGGAAAAAAAATGCTAACTATTGGACAGAAATCTCAAAACTGAGCCAGAGTGGAAATCCAACTATAATAAGTGGTCTTTTAAAAACTGATGGAAAATTAATAAAATATATAAAACTTTGCCTTGAACACCGAGAAATGTATAGAAAGCAGCAAAAATTTTCATAGATTTAATAGGTAAGCAAAATAGAGACTATTAAAATATCTGAAGTATTTCAAGCATATTATTTTGAGTTTATACTTAATACAAATAGCAATAATATGATCAGCACAGTACTATAAAGGAAAGACCTAGGGAGAAGAAAAGCAATAAGAAGTAGGTGGTCTGCTTTGGGCTAATAAAATTTTCTTAAGTGAAGAAGACAAGAGTGGGTAAATTTTGTTTGATGCTGAAGACAGCTTGATTTAAACTGATGTTTCATGGCATAGAGCTGGAAGGAGAAAAAAGCAGAGAGAAGGGAAAAGAAGGCAGGAGGACCAATTCACAAGTAGTCTAAAAAGTAAAGAAAACAACTCAGTTATGTTTACTGAAACTAAAGCATCCTATACCCCATTACTGCTCATAGAAATGTGACAGAAGAGGATGTTTATCCTGTCAATAAAGTTAAACTTTGTAGGACATAGGACAATTAAAAGCAAAGTAAAAAGATGAAAAGGAATATAGAACAGATGAGGTACTCTTCAGCTAGAGAGATGGCTCAGACCACTGTTCTAGAACCTACCTTGGGTAGCTCAAACCTATAACTCCAGCTCCAGGAGATCTTCCAGCTTCCTCTGACTTCTATGGGCAATTGCACCCACATGCACAGACCCACAAAAAGACACAATTAAAAGTAAATTTTTTTCTGTTTGGTTTTTAAAGAAGCTTTTATTGGTTTCCAAAGACAATAGATATATAGATATATAGATATAGATATATATATATTTTTTCAAAAACATCTAAAAGAAGTTCATTTCTTAGTTATTATATATGTGGTATGAACATGGAGCAGAAGAGTGCTTTTATGATTTACTTAGTCTAAGTTTAAAATGTCAGGGGTAACAAAGTGCTAAAGTGTCTGAGCACAAAGATGAAAATAGGTAACAAGAACTGAACACTGGCCTATGAACAGTGGAAGACTACGGCGTCACTTCGGGTTCTTCACACACTACATGCTGTGCTACTACACGGACTCCATGCTAACTCTAGCAGAGTACCAGGACCACACAGAACTTCAAATATAGGAAACCTCAATTAAGACCTAGTACTTTTGGCTGCAAACCATTGACTTTATAAAATTTATAAAAGGAAAAATTCAAACCTACTTCCAGGATGCAAAAATGTTTGGGGATAAGCAATCTCTGCCACAAAACAAAAACAAACAAACAAACAAACAAACAAACATTAATACAAACCTCTTTGTGAAGCTGTCTAGTAAAATTTAAATGCAAGTTATAAATAGACAGAGCTCAGTCAGCAAAAAGCCTATTTTACCAGCATGAGGACCTGAGTTCAGATCCCTAGGACCCACATGAAAGCCGGGCATGGCAGCAAGAGTATGTAGGCCTGGTGGGTGACAAATGCATTTCCAGAGCTCTCTACCCAGCCAGCCTGAGCTTCAGGTTCAGTAAAATTCTGTTTTAAAAAACAAGGTGTAGCCTTTCCGCTCAGCTGCTCTCCAGCACTGGAGGCAGCCCTGGCACCAGGCCGGAATGGCATGATCCTGAAGCCCCACTTCCACAAGGATTGGCAGCGGTGAGTGGATACTTGGGTTCAACCAGCCGGCACGCAATATCCACCGACGCAAGGCCCAGCAGGCGAAAGCTCACCGCATTGCACCTCGTCGCGCATCCGGTCCCATCAGGCCCATAGTGAGGTGCCCACAGTTTGAGACCACACCAAGGTCTGAGCCGGCAGGGGCTTCAGCCTGGAAGAGCTCCAGGTGGCTGGTATCCATAAGAAAAATGGCTTGCACCATCGGCATCTCTGTGGACCCAAGAAGGCGAAACAACTCTACTGAGTCACTACAGGTCAATTTGCAGAGCCTGCAGGAGTACCACTCAGGCTCATATTTTTCCCCAGGAAGCTTCTGCTCCCAAGAAGGGCGATAGTTCTGCTTAAGAGCTGAAATTGGCCACCCAGCTAATGGGACCTGTGATGCCCACCTGGAATGTCTACAAAAAGGAGAAAGCCAGAGTCATCACAGAAGAAAAGAACTTCAAGGCTTTAGCCAGTCCTCATATGGCCCGGGCAAAGGCCTAGATCTTTGGCACTGAGCAAAAAGGGCGAAGGAAACTGCAGAGCACGACGTTGAAAAGACAGAGTAATACACAGTTGAAATGTTGCAATAAATTTTCCATAAAGAAAAAAAAAAGTGGAGCTAGGCATAATGGTGCACACCTTTATGAGGCAGAAGCAGACAGATCTCTGGGTTCCAAAATCAGTATGGTCTGCATTGAGATAGTTAGTCTATGTCCCCCACATGTATGTGCACATACACAGCAATAAGTAAATAAACATTATTAATTCAAGTAATTGATGATAATGACTGATAAGGCTAAAAGCAAACTCACTTTATATAGTTTTGATATGTTATGATTTGAACATAGACTATTTCCAAAATCCTCATGTGTTGAAATCAGAGTTTTGACCTAATAAATGGACTAATCCACCAGTAGTTTCATAATTTGATGGCATTATTGGAAGTGATGAAACTTCAGATGTGAGGCCTAAGTGGAGGAACGTGCCTCCATAACTTCCTCCCACCTGTTCTGCTTCCTGGCTACCATGCATTGAGCAGCTCTGTTCTACTAATCTTGCCTCATTTCAGGCCCAAAGCATGCAGCTAGCCAACCATGGTCTAAAATCTCTGGTAACAGGAGACAATTCAACTGAACAAATTAATACATTATTAATCAGTAGGTTAAATTTGATACATATAAACATCTATACCAAAGCCATTCAACACCCAAATTAAAACCAAAAAGAATTTATGTTAGAAATCTTGGTTTAAAAAGTTAAAGCATAATCATGGTGGACAGTGATTTGTGTATTGCTA